TCATGTGACATTAATGGACGAATTACAGTTCTTTAATCGGAAAAGGGGGTTAATTTGGAAAAGCTTCATTGTGTGTTGTGTGAAATAGTGTTGATTAATTTTCGGATTGCATGGCACTATGTAAAGTGAATTCCAAATTTTTAATGCATTTATCTGATAATAATAATAAGTTGAGATTGTGTGAAAGGAAGGATATTACACATTAAGTTTGAATGCTGGTACAAGATAATCTGGTGAAAATGGACATTTTGTGAAAAGTAATGTAAGGAAGGGTACGTGGTTTGCTGAAAGTCGTTTGAGTATTGGGTGAAATTTTATTAATTTCTTATTACTGGGTGCATAGACTTCCAGTTGACTACTGGATTTAGGATTAGAAATTAGCAGTAGTACTGCAGCCACGTAATGAAGATTCTGAAGAAGATTAGGTAAGTTAGTATTTTAATCATTTGAGGATATTATTTTATGCATTGTTCTAAATGTAAGGAGTAAATAAATTAATGTGGTATTATTGGAAAATTGTTATTAGCAATGATTTAGTTTAAAGTAATTAGGACTGTAATCTAACTTTTATTAATTTAATGTATGTGCTCATTTATATTTTAAGTAGTGTTTTTTAATTTAATTATATTTTAATTTAATGAGCGTGATTTTGTGAGTTATATATTTGTAGTATTTTGGAATACGTTTGAGTAGTATACGTTGAGTATTTTCCTGCATTTTCGTGAAATTTTTCTAATTTATGAGAAAAAACCAGATTTAATGGATATAGTGAAGAGTGTGCGCAATGCCATTTTTGTGCAATTCTGGGATGTTTTTTTAAGTAAAAATAAGTCGACGTGTACATGGTTTAGTGATATTTTAATTAAATAATAGTTATTTTGTGAATTTTATGTTTGCAGGAATTTGGTATACGTTTCAGTTGAAGTAAACGCGTATGGAAATAATTTAAATATTTGACACTAACTATTTGTCACTATTTTTAATGTTTGCATATAAATTCGTTAGTGACGTTTATAATATAATAGATAATTTACAGGTAAAAGCTTTTGGACATTTTATATGTGGAAATGTTCATCCTTGAAAAGGGTATGTACTTTTCGCGATCAGGTAATTTCATATATGTGCTTTTTATCGAGTTTAAAGATTAAGAAAATTTTCCTGCATTTTCTTGCAAATTTTTGTAATTTATGAGAAAATAGCAGTGTAGATGGATAAAGTTAAGAGTGTGTGCAATGCCATTTTTGTGCAATTCTGGGATGTTTTTTTAAGTAAAAATAAGTCTATGTGTAAATGGTTTATGTGTATGTGCTATTCTGAAAAACGCGCAAGGAGTTTGCGATTCTGCACTTTTTCCCAATTTTGCAGTGAATATTTGTCATGATTAAGCAGTTTGTACATAAAATTTTCTAGCATCATGTAATTCGGCTAGTAGATTGTTGGAAAAGTGTTGAGTAAATGAAAAGAAAAGAAACATGTCTTTACTTCGTGAAGACAAAATGGCGGCGAAAAAAAAATAGAGGGTTGCTGTAGCAGAGTTGGTCGCCAAATTTTCGCCAAGTTACCATAATCCAAAGATCAACCAAAAGTTTTTGTACATTTTATTTATTTTATACATGGAAATGGTTCATCCTTGGAAAGGGTATATATTTTTTCGCGATCAGGTAATTTCATACATGTGCTTTTTACCGAGTTTAAAGATTCACAAAATTTTCCTGCATTTTCGTGCAAGTTTTTGTAATTTATGAGAAAATAGCAGTGTAGATGGATAAAGTGAAGAGTGTGCGCGATGCCATTTTTGTGCAATTCTGAGATTTTTTTTAAGTAAAAATAAGTCGACGTGTACATGGTTACTGTGTATGTGCAAATCTGAAAAACGCGGCAAGGAGCTTTGCGATTTTGCACTTTTTCCCAATTTTGCAGTTAACATTTGTCATGATTAAGCAGTTTTGTTCCATGAAATTTCTAGCATAAGTGTAATTCGGCTAGCAGATTGTTGAAAAAAGTTTTGAGTAAATAAAAATAAAAGAAACATGTCTTTACTTCGTGAAGACAAAATGGCAGCGGGAAAAAAAAAATAGAGGGTTGCTGTAGCAGAGTTGGTCGCCAAATTTTCGCCGAAAAGTCGCCAAGTTACCATAATCCAAAGATTAACCGTAATAAAAATTAGATTACAATCCTAATTACTTTAAACTAAATCATTGCTAATAACAATTTTCCAATAATACCACATTAATTTATTTACTCCTTACATTTAGAACAATGCATAAAAATAATATCTTCAAATGATTAAAAATACTAACTTACCTAATCTTCTTCAGAATCTTTATTACGTGACACGCACACTTCCCTACAGAAATAGTTCCAATCGGCTGCAGTACTACTGCTAATTTCTATATCCGAAATCCAGTAATCAACTGGCAGTCTATTCACCCAGTAATAAGAAATTAATAAAATTTCACCCATGCTCAAACTACTTTCAGCAAACCACGTACCCTTCCTTACACTCCGTTTCACAAAATGTCCATTTTCACCAGATTTCTTGCACCGACATTCAAACTTATCTGTAATATCCTTCCTTTCACATAATCTCATTTCATTCCCACATTTTGCACATTCATACTTATCCGCAATTAAACCTACACTCATACACCATTACATCAGTTCTTTTGAATTATCAGATAAACGCATTAAAAATTTAGAATTCACTTTAAATAGCGCCCTGCAATCCGAAAATTAATCAACACTATTTCACACAACACACAATGAAGCTTAATACAAAATAATATAGTACTACAGATATTTTTCCAAATTTACCCCCTTTTCCGATTAAAGAACTATAATTCGTCCATTAATGTCACATGACATATCTCATGATCTCTCATTTCCCTCACACAAAATAATGCGTAATCGGAACTGAGTACTTCTCACATTATTCCCAAAGTCCTAGGTAGTAACCTTTATTGCCTCCAAAATATTGCCAAACTACCTGTTACCATATTCCAAAGATCAGCCCAATTGGATTTTTGTCAATTTTCTTTTACTTTTTAAGTGTAGCTCAATGTGTATATAGATAAAGTCAAGGGTGTGCGCAGTGCCATTTTTGTGCAATTCTAGGTTTTTTTTTAAGTGAACATAGGTCAATGTGCACATGGATACCAAGTATGTGCAGTTCTTAAAAACGAGTCAAGCAGTGGATGATTCTGCACTTTATCCAAAATTCTATTGCCAACTTTTCGTCATGGGCAATTCCCAAATTGTTAGGATCATAGGATATCAAAATAATTAATAATAAATAAAATAAAAAATATATAAAAATTAAATCAAAAAGGATTTAAAAATTAAACTAGTATTTCAAAGGCGTCTTAAGAAATATAGAACTAAATAAAGTTACGCAATCTGAAATCACCGCATACGCTAGATTTGGCGTGCTGTTAAATGGGCACGTTGCTAGATTTGGCGCTTTTGTGCATATATTTTCGCTGCAATTTTTTTACGGCCCTCAAAACAGAATAGTACCCAATTTTTTAAAGCATTTTTTACATAATTTTAAAAATTACTTTTATGTAGATATTCATAGTGAACACATCAAAACAAATAATATAGTATCATACTGTATTTTTGTGCATTTAAAACTTGCATGCATTGCAGGGAAAACTGGTGATCAGTGGACGGAATATCACGCATTTGACCACCCATACATCCAGGAAAAACAATTCACTGTCTAAAATATCTTGCATTTTTGAATTTAGGATAGAAAATGTATTAATTTTCAGCAATAAAAAAAAAAAAAAAAAAAAAAAAAAGCCCTTTTTGGGTCAGAAATTTGAAAAAAAAAAAAGAAAAAAAATCCAACCAAGAAGGGGTTAATCAGTTATTTTTAAACTCATATCTGTTTAATATCATGCTATGTACCAAATATGAAATTTAAAACACTAAATCTGACTTATACATCCTTTATATCAAAACTTAACCATATATCGCTAAAACCATTACCACTGGCATGGTGATACCACATGACTAGAAATTCATTTACCTCCAGAGTTAAAAGAAATAACCAATTTACTTTATTTAATACGTGTTGCTCAATTAGTATTCATTTGACAGAGGTACTTCGTGAGAGTCAATTAACTAGTTAATATCTTCGTTATTGACATTCCCGTTTTTTTCATTCACTAGGTTCTATCTGTTACAATTTCCGAAGTTTCTTTAGTTTTATGAAACCAGCCACCATTTGTGGGCATAACTGTTTCCAGGCATCATTTATTATTGACTCTTTCACTTCAGCCAACTAGTCTCCAATAATTTTTATTACATTCAATATACTATAGTTTTGCTGAAAATCTTAATGTTGGCCCACTTTCCTTACCAGTTACTTGCACTGATGGCTTGATTCATTACTGTCCCCAGATAATATCATTTAAGTGTAGATCCATGGGCTGCATGAGGCAAGCAGTATTGGAAGGAGGAAACACAACAATAATTTCCGGCTATAAATTCTGCAGAGATTTGGGGTGTCCTGGAGCACGGTCTAAAATTAATACTACTATAAATTGTATAACTGCTGGAATTAAATCAAAAGTGAGCCAGTCTTTAAATATTAAACGTAAACGCTCGTAATAATAACAGTGGCTTCAGTTTTTTAATCACTAAGTTTTTCCACGTGCTAATCGGTTTTCAGAAAGTTTATGTTCCGCGGCAACTGATTCTTCCTTCAATAAGAATGTAAGATTATTCTTTTTATCATTTAATTATTTTTTTTTAATATACTAAAACTTGAGAGAAAATAGAAATAAAAACTAGGTGCAACTGCACGGAAGTGAAAAATTTTTGCAACATCGGCACAATTCTTTAAAAAATTGAATTTTTAAAAATGTGCGAAAATCGAGGGCCACCTGTAATCCAAATTGATAAGATAAATATATTAAAACGTTTAAGTACATTCAGACACGAAAAATATTCACAAAGGTACTTTAGAAAAAGATATAATAAAGATGACTTACTTACAGTAATACTACAACGCACGTTGCAACGATATTCTATGCTACTCGACACACATTCATAATATTTACTACTTCATGTCAAAAGCAATCCGAAATCACGATTCAACTCTAAACAAGCATTCCAGACAAGATAAGGGTATCAATTGTTGCCAATTTCTAACTAACCAATTTCTAACTAAACTTTTCAATAAGCATTAACATGTAGTAATTCTGCTGTGTCTACCCGTCCGACGTCGAAGAGTTAGTTCAACGGTCGGCGCTAAATCCCCGAACGCGCAGGCAGGTCACGTGGTCTTAAGTTTATGCGTATGCCGACATCACGACGGAGCTCCGCCCAGTATCAACAACAACTTCGATGGATGTAAACATAGTTCACAACGATTCGAAAATATGAAATAAGGCCTTGTATCTGTGAATATGTATGTCTGAACGATTTCGAGCAGTCTGCAGTCTGGTCTTGGTTATGTTCTCCGCCTCTTATGAAAGCAAAAGAATAAAAATAAAATAAATAAATAAATAAAAAAATCCGAAAGCTTTCAGACTTTAAATTACGTCCAAAGGTTCGTTTTCTTAACGTTTTGTGTGTTACCTTTATTTATTAGATATCATGTTCTTCACAATTAAACGATAAAATTCAGTTCAATAGCCATGTCGCAAAATAATTTTAAAATGAGACTATCTTTAGAATTTCCAATACACAGTTCTGCGCGCTGGAGATAAAAAGTGTTTTTTTCCCTCCCATAGAGTGTTGCCAAACGTTTTTTTCCTTTCCCCGTAGATTGTTGCCATTGCTCGCATTCAAATCGTTGAGTTTGTTATTCAAAAATTCGTTACAGTTTTACAAAATATGAAATCGACAATAAAACTAATTCAAAATTTCGGCTTCCACATGGCCATATTCGCAGTAGGATTACGTCATTCAAAATTCGATGGCTCTATGTACCGTTGTTTTATCAAAATGCAAGAAATATACATACATATATGCAGATTTTTCATTATTTAATTTCTTCAAATATAATGCAGGTGGCAACAGTTTCAAAAGTGAAAAGGACATTTATAGTGATTCAACGCAAAACGAAAACAATAGTCCTTCAGGGACAAAGCATCTTTGGACTAATTAGTGATAATTTTTAAAAATGGTTTAATATAGAAAATGTAGTGTACGTAAAAAAATCTTCTGAAAGATACTCTAATATCAGATATTTATAATAAAACTGATTCATTCACACTGGTTCCTCCTAAAACCATCCAGGGTTCCATCCAGGTAATAGACCAGCCGGACCTTATCCCAGCCATCCAGGTAATAGACCTAAAGCCATCCAGGGTTCGAATTTGAGTTGAACCATTGACATTCAACAGTTTTATGCACTTAGACAGGTGTAAATTTTTTTTAACTATTCTGCTGATTTCTTATTTTTGCATGGTACGATTGCTTATTCAAGTTCACTGATGAAGCCAAGTTTATTAAAGCAAAATTAACCTGTAAATTATTTCTTTCTAAGAATATTCAGAATAAAACTAGGATTATTGTAATTTTACATTAAGAATAATAATTTAATTCACTATGGAATTGTGTTTGAATAAGAGAATAAAAATAAATAGTGTTATGTGTTAACCATGAGACCATAAGAATGAATTAATCATACCATAAGACATTAACCAGACCATAAGAATAGAGTCTAAGATTTTTGAATATTTAAATTTTTTTTTAAAATTTAATTTAACACTAGACTTTACATTGCTTAATTCTCAAAATACTTCAGTGGTATTTTTCCTTTTAGACCCTTATTTTAATTGCTAACTTTTGAATATGTTAACCAACTGCCTTTCCATATATTTGCTATTCTTTTTTTCCCCCATATCACATCATTCATCATCATCTGCAAACTTGTGAATAAAATTTATAAAGTTACTACTAAAACATCTGTGTATTTTATTGGATTTATGATGCATGCATGATAGTAGATTCTCGTGGATCATTATAAATAGTTATCTGACTTTCATAACTATTTATAATGATATCAAAACCATTAGAAACTAAATTTCTTTGCTCAAGGCAAACTGCAATTTTTTTATTGCTTTAAAAATCAATAGTTTTTTTGCAAAATATAGGCACCCTTTAAAATTTTTTACTCGGTTTTAAATACTTTAGTTTCTTTGCCAGTACACCAAAGTTTAGAAAAAAGGAGACAGTTTCCATTTTCTGACTTCGAGCATCCAACAAATACATTAATTAGAAATTACAGAAAAATTTGAAATTTTTTATTACAAGCTGAAAATTAGGTGCATTTGAGTAAACATCTTAGCAACTACTCTGATATGCGCCCTCAAGTCGCCAAATATTTTTGGCGAGAAACTTCACGCTGCCATATTACTATCTAAATTTGTTGTCTACATTTCGAACTTTAAGCCTAAAATGTCTCCAAAACATGGTTTTCGCCGCACATGCAAAACTACGTTTTGAACACACGATTTTGAGCTAAAAATCGAAACCAAAACAAAATATTTAGATAGCAAAAACGTAAAGTTTCTAACCAAAAATATTTGACAAGAATCCATGTACACAGCGACATGTTTTAACTTAAAAAACATCTAGGAAATGGCACATGTAGGCAACGAACAATCTAACGAACTACGTACACCTCGCTTTAATAAATTAACATAACAACAATAAATTTTCAAAGAATACCATGTACACAGCGTTCTGTTTCAACTTTAAAAAAATCTACGAATTGCACAATCTACACTAAAAACAAATCAAGAAAATAAATTAAATAAATTTCAGACATTCAAAAAACAACAATAAAACGGAAATTCATACAAAAACAATGAATATAACATTCTACAAAATAAAAACTATAAAATAAAATGCTCTTACCTACCATAATGAAAGCTCTTTTAAAAGCAGAAATATCTTTTCCCCCCCTATCTTCTCAGATACAGAGCATACAATGTCCAAAATACATTCGTTAATAAAACTTCGCCAGTCACACAACGTCTGTGAAGAAACTTCCCACGATTTTTGCTATATCACATGCCTTCCTACGATTCAAAATTTCGAAAGTAACAATAAAAACTTCCTCACGTTAACTTGCTACACAAAAACCAAGATCCAAACCTAACTCCGCTGACACCCACATACTTTATAGCAACAATTTTACTGCAAACCCCACAAGTCTATCAGAACAAAACACCTTTTTTCGTCCGAGTTCTCATATCAGCTCCGCATTTCGAACACGTCAAACTCCGTTTTAAAAATCCCGACTTCCACAGAAATTCCAAAAATACACTACGATGCCCATAAATAAATCCGTAACAAAAGACTCATTAACAACTCAACATCGTACCTTTTCATACTAAATTTACTCTGCACACAATCTAAAATACGGCTGAAACCTTCCCACCACGTCTTTCATCGCCAACATAGGCCATTTTAAAAACACACGCGACACGAACCAACTAGCAATTTAAACTACTCCACCAAAAGACTTTTCAACGTCGACATGGTTGCCATACAACACGCAATCGCGCCAAAAACCAGCTCAAAACACATATCGCCACATTTGGTGAAATTAGGGCGTTTATCAGAGTTGTACCATATCTTATTATATGATGCAATTATAAATTAAAATGAGTAAAATTTCAGGCAAACATCTTGTAAATACTATTTGCATCATTATCACATTTGTCAAACAAAACGCTCACAAGTGTTAAAAAATTCAAGCACAATGTTAATACTAAAAATTTTATGCTCATTTTTTCTCTAATAAGTATATGTCAGTGTACTTTTATCATGCATCCTAATACTGAGTGAAACTGTTGCAATTAATCAATATCAGATTTTATATGTGGTTCTCAACACACTCTTGTTTTGCAGCACTGCCTCTGTTATATTTTTGGCTGCACTTCTATATGAAAGACAAATGTAATGTAGATTCTGGCAAACTTAGAAATAATATTTGGGAGCGCTATGAATGTGTTTCTTCTACATATATCAACAATTCAACATACTTTCTGCATTTTCTGCCTTCATCTTTATTTATTACCACCAATATTTCTGTCATTGAACTTTATTTATCATTTATCTATTATTTTAACGCTCAGATATGCATATATGGAGTTAGTTTCCTTTATTAAAAAGATAATTATAAAGTAAAAGGCTTGCAATTATATATTGCTAAATTTTAACAAACGTACATATACGTAAAAAGCAAATTTAAAGTTAAAATAATTAAAAAATGTGCAAACATATATCATTTAAATTCAGATAGCATAAGTAAATCAAGTGCAAAACCAAACCATGAAAATAAATTCACCAATTTAGCAAATTCAAATTAATCTAAAACTTTAAAAAAAATGCATAAGTGAATGACTGTTGAGCAGGCAGGAGACAGATTTGTCAAGGGGAAGTTGCCTCCAAACCTAACTCTACAATCATTCAATTCGTGTTTCGTCATTCATGCAGACAAGGGTAAAAGTCAAAACCAAAAGTAAATACATAGTGAAGAATGTCCAAAAAGAAATACCAATAAAGTGGTACCTTGAGAAATTAGCAATTAAAATAAAGGTCTAAAAGGAAAATACCAATGAAGTATTTTGAGAATTAAGCAATGTAAAGTCTAGTATTAAATTAAATTTTTAAAAAAAAATTTTAAAAAAATTAATTTTTCAGAAAAATTAGAAACCAATGCATTATTGCTAAAGATACACAAGACAAATGGAGCTAGATTGGCACGGCACACTGAAAGTATACTAATGCACAGATTTCGGAAACATGTTTCTACTCAACTAGTCGGATTCATTCTACTGTGGAATAGTTAACAGCCGGACGTCGGATTGGTAGACGCTTTGGCTAATCAACGGCGAGATCCGTCCGTCTACGGACCTTGAATCCACGGCGGTACTAACTCTCAACGAGGCTCCTTGCTTACTCTGTTGTTAAATCAGAGAACAGCCTGCCATCTATCAAGGAGGTTAGAATAGAAGGAGGGAGGGTTCGCAGTTTCCTCCACTATCGGGGAATGAAACGCCACCGAACAAGCGGCGTCCACTTTAAAGCATTGCATTACGGTAGTGAAACGTGCGTGTTTTTAAGCTGTTCCGTGCATGTATTTTCCACTAAAAATATGTAAAATTTATAATGAAATACTTCGATATTGTATGTTTTTTGTTTTAAAGTTATAAAGATGATATTCGTAATTTACTACGTACAATCATTAAGAAATAGTTCGAAATCTAAATGCATGTGCATAACATTAAAGGCTTTAAAAATGATGTTTCTGAATATTTCAAGAATTTGCTTAGGTTTTATTAGCAGCCTGTTGGGTGTACTTTCCAGTTTTTTCTTGAAGAAGTGATATTTCTGATTTATTCACAATATTGTAATTTATTGAAGAATCATTTAAAATATATTTAACCTGAAATTAATAGCAGATAATTATCTAAAAAAATAGTCACAGGCTGCATTTTCTTTTAAATGAAAGTTTTAAATAGATTCTTTTCCAAACCAAGAACCCGTATAACAACAAGAAAATAAATATTAATAACAAAAACATTTGTGAATTCATGATTTCAGTTTTGCGCGTTTCATATTTACAATCTGAAAAAATTGCCTGAATTAAGCTGAAATACAGAAATATACCTACACCTATATTTTTGTATACATCTTTCCACATGTTCAGTTGTGTAAATATTTGGTACTTATATTATCGCAACCAGGTTGACGATTTGTAGTTGAGTAAAAAAGTATGAATAGAAAGAAATGTACATTTATTAACAGATATTTTTAATACAGTTTTTTATATTATTTTGTTTTAAAATATAAAATAGCAATTACCCTTCGTTTCGAATTTGAATAGTGCAGAATTTTTTCGCGGAAATCTTTTGGCTATTGCTTTTAGCACTGATTGAAAACGCGTCTTCCCATTAACAGCTTGAGCTTGACGCCATATAATTCGATAAGGTATGAGGCAGATGATGACGGGCTTTCCTCTCTGTTTTTTGTTGCCCATTTGGCTGAGCCCACCTGCGCTCTACATGATGTGTGTGAACGCCCGTGTTGGGATCCACAAAGTTATATTGTGATTAACAGTTCCATGAGAAACCAGCATTTTCGCTCACTTGTATTTTATCCTTTCCAGCAATCGAATAAATGATGCTTCCTTCCTTGAATTTTCGCAAATTTTTTCGATGAGGATAACGTCGCTTCTGTAGATACAGTAACCAAAAAAGTATCTTTCTTTTCTCGGCAAATTCCGCGCCGAAAACCCTTGCTGTGGTGTACACGCCCAGTGTTTATTTTTTCTTTTACAATAAACTTTCGTCTATTTTCACACACGTAGGGTGCCGTAAGTAGGTTCGCCAATTTGGCGATTTAGCGAAAATTTTGCCTGGTTGCGTTAATACGTAAGTACCAATATTTACTTACTTTTGTCGCTATACTGTCCACAAATTTGTAAGTTTATGCAAAAAAAAAAAATTTAACAACAGAAAAGTTAGTTTATCTTATCAAATGCACAAATTATATTCTAACAGTTCAAAAACTTAAAAATGAATAATAATTAATACATAAGAAAGAATTACTTTTTTAACATCTTTACAATTCATAAAAATAGTAACAATTGGTGTCTTACTTTTCATGAAAATTATCAAACGAATTACCTAAACTTTCAAATTATACAGTTTAAATCTAGCATACATCATGTATGTACGGAACAAAGTGCCAGCTATAAACAGAAACATTAAAATGTATTTAACATATATTGATTATTATTAAGTCCTTTTTTTCACATCTGGAAATAAAACAACATGACATTGTGATATTTTTAACCTTTGTTATCAAAATACATAAAAAAAAAAGAAAATCAATACTTACGCGTGAAAAACTAATCCCAGGAATCTTTTTCGAAAATCTGTTTGTGCATCCATATGCAACACAAGCTGACATGCTTCAAAAAGAAAAGAAAAAATATATATATTGCAATTACAGACTTCTTTGCACGAGTCACAGCGATAACAGGAACATGGCTGCCAAGCTTCACCGTTTAAGTTGAACCTTTCCTCCTTCTATTCTAACCTCCTTGCCATCTATATAGTGGTCGCGACTTTTTTGAACAATTTTTCTTGCTGTGCAGTAACATTTTTGTGTCCCTTCGTGAAGAAGACTGTCAGCTAAACTTTTAAAGCGAAGGAATGCATGTATGTAAGATATTTCTGGATCTTAAATGTTGATTTAGTCCATGATCGTGTGTGTGAAGTATTAATATAATGTTAATAACGTGTTACAATTCATCAGCCTTTGGGGTGCAATTTTGTACTGGAAACTGGAGTTGCCTCTCAGATAATTCTGTTCCCGAATTTGACCTGCGCTCAATACATCAGTAGTATATTGCAAAATGAATATAGCTTCCGTGTTTTCTGTTGCCTTTGTATTTGCTAACTGTATTTAAAATAAGTATGTACTTGAATTATTAAGCCAACCATGTTTCTGTGAGACAAAAACGAAACAGGATGGCATTAACCGGTGGGGGATTAATCATGGCAAAGAAAAACGATAAAAAAAAGTTTTAGTATAAATTGTGTTGAAGTTACCATTGTTCTTCCGTGACTGAAGTCATATAAAAGTGTAAATGCCCTTTAGAGGTTTAATATATTTTAACTGGATAGTACCACAAATATTTCTTTGATAAATTGAAACCACAGATTAGTCTTTCAAAACTTACAATGAACCTCCTCATATTTTTTGACACAGTTTTATCTTGCACAGTCTTATAGCTTCTGTAGTTTTAACACTTTGCATTAATAGCCTAGATTTCTTTGATTACATATTATTTGTAATAGGAAGTATTCTTCTTCTGGTGCGATATTTCTTGAAAGGTAAAGAATGAACTCTGATGTTATAAAAGTTTTGAAAACTTGAAACTCGAGGTATCTTTAGTTCGTAACAGAAAAATTTCTCCTGTTTATTCCATGAATTTAACTGTCTCACAATTCCAGCATTTATGATGGTCGGTGATAAACAGGAATTCCTTTCTTTCTGGTGGGCATGATGAAAGTCTCAGTTGGGCTGACCTACTTTACATTCATGTCTTCCATAGAAGAACTTACTTCTCTGTTTTTTGAACTGGGTTTCCTTTTTCCTGATATTTTTAAAGCTAGTATCACAGGAGTTCACAATTGCCTTAAAAAAAAAAAAAAAGGTGATCAGTTTCTTCTAAATTAAAAAGTTTATTACACATGTTTATTACACATAAATTAAAACTTTTTATTTTTTTATGGATTTTGACCTATTTGTATGATTTATTTTTGCAGCTAAAATTCTCTTTTTTAGTTAAGAAAACAAATACACTTGATCTCCTAGCCGTGACAATATAGATTTCCACCGAGAATCTTCAAACATTTTTTACAGTATAAAACCATGTTTCTGTTGAGAAAGAAAATGAGAGCAAACTGCATTAAATATATATCCAGTGCTGAAATATGAAAATTTTAATAAAAAGCTCATACTTTATCTTTTAAAAACAAAATATCAAATTATAATTATTTTATCTTTTACAAAAACAGAATATGCAAATAACTGTGAATGAACAAGAATGTATTTAAGACATTAAAAAAAAAAAAAAATCACAGAAAGTACATAAAATAATCGGTAAATTTAAGTATGTGGCACAGTTTTTGCTAGATATTATCACACATTATAATTATTTTTTGATGTTAATTGATTTAGGAAGTTCCTTGGTTAAGTGATGATTTTTCTATACAGCTTCTAACCTAAAAATTACAAATCAATTCTCGGTTGATCTTTAGATTATGGTAACTTGGCGATTTTTTGGCGACCAACTCTCCTACAGCAACCCTCTATTTTTTTTTTCCCGCCGCAAGACATGTTTCTTTTCTTTTTATCTACTGAACACTTCTTCCAACTCTACTAGCCGAATTACACTTATGCTAAAATTTTATCTAACAAAACTGCTTAATCATGACAAATATTCACTGCAAAATTGGGAAAAAGTGCACAATACATACTCCTACGCGTTTTTCAAAATAACACACATACAAACACGTCACTTATTTTTACTTAAAAAACTCCCAGAATTACACAAAAATGGCATTGCGCACACTCTTCACTATATCCATGTACACTGCTTTTTCTCATAAATTAGAAAAATTTCACGAAAACATGACAATTTTCTGAATCTTAACCCGTAAAAAGAACGTATAATGAATTACCTGATCGCGAAAAAGCATATACCCTTTCCAAATATGCACATTTCCACATATAAAATAAATAAAATATCCAAAAACTTTTACCTCTAAATCATCTATTATATTATAAACAGCAACAACGAATTCATACCGCAAGCATTACAAATACTTAGTGTCAAATATTTAAATTATTTCCATGCACGTTTTCTTCAACTAAAACGTATACCAAATTCCTACAAACATAAAATTCACAAAATAACTATCATTTAATTAAAATATCACTAAACCATGTACACGTCGACTTATTTTTACTTAAAAAAAAAAAATCCCAGAATTGCACAAAAATGGCATTGCGCACACTCTTCACCATATCCATGTACACTCCTTTTTTCTCATAAATTAGAAAAATTTCACGAAAATGCATGACAATTTTCTGAATCTTTAAACCCATTAAAAAGAACATGTATGAAATTACCTAATAACGAAAAAGTATATACCCTTTCGAAATATGAACATTTCCACGTGTAAAATAAATAAAATATCCAAAAACTTTTACCTCTAAATTATCTATTATATTATAAACGTCACCAACGAATTCATACCACAAACATTACAAATACTTAGTGTCAAATATTTAAATTATTTCCATGCACGTTTACTTCAACTAAAACGTATACCAAATTCCTACAAACATAAAATTCACAAAATAACTATCATTAATTAAAATATAATTAAATTCAAAACACTACTTAAAATATAAATAAGCACATACATTAAATTAATAAAAATTAGCTTACAACAATCCTAATTACTTTAAAACTAAATAATCATTGCTAATAACAATTTTCCGAATAATACCAAATTACTTTACTTCCACCTTACATTTAGAACAATGCATAAAAAAATATCCTCAAATAATTAAAAATACTAACTTACCTAATCTTCTTCAGAATCTTGATACATTTCCGATAAACTTTTCTTATTTCTGTTTCAGGATCTTTAAAATCATACTTATAGTTCACAGCAAGGTACCAATAAAATAAATAACTTAATAAAACATCTTTACTTCTATCTCGCACACCTTAAAGAACACTTATTACTACCCCTTTCAATCCCACTAAATACCTATTTCGAATTCACTTTGTTAGGCCATGGGATCCAAAAATTAACGAACACTGTTTCACACAACACAGAAAAAAGCCAAATACAAAATTTCCAGATTTTGTTTCCCGATTTCCCCCCTTTTCCGATTAAAGAACCGTAATTCGTCCATTAATATCACATGACATATCCCATGATCTCTCATTTCCCTCACACAAAATAATGCTTAATCGGAACTGAGTACTTCTCACATTATTCCCAAAGTCCTAGGTAGTAACCTTTATGCCCAAATATTGCCAAAACTACCTGTTACCATATTCCAAAGTCAGCCCAATTGGATTTTTGTCATTTTCTTTTACTTTTTAAGTTAGCTCAATGTGTATATAGATAAAGTCAAGGGTGTGCGCAGTGCCATTTTTGTGCATTCTAGGTTTTTTTTTAAGTGAACATAGGTCACAATGTGCACATGGATACCAAGTATGTGCAGTTCTTAAAAACGAGTCAAGCAGTGGATGATTCTGCACTTTATCCAAAATTCTATTGCCAACTTTTCGTCATGGGCAATTCCCAAATTGTTAGGATCATAGGATATCAAAATTAATTAATAAATAAATAAAATAAAAAATATATAAAAATTAAATCAAAAAAGGATTTAAAAATTAACTAGTATTTCAAAGGCGTCTTAAGAAATATAGAACTAAATAAAGTTACGCAATCTGAAATCACCGCATACGCTAGATTTGGCGTGCTGTTAAATGGGCACGTTGAGATTTGGCGCTTTTGTGCATATATTTTCGCTGCAATTTTTTTACGGCCCTCAAAACAGAATAGTACCAATTTTTTAAAGCTTTTTTACATAATTTTAAAAATTACTTTATGTAGATATCATAGTGAACACATCAAACAAATAATATAGTATCATACTGTATTTTGTGCATTTAAAACTTGCATGCATTGCAGGGAAAACTGTGATCAAGTGGACGGAATATCACGCATTTGACCACCCATACATCCAGAAAAACAATCACTGTCTAAAATATCTTGCATTTTTTGAATTTAGGATAGAAAATGTATTAATTTTCAGCAATTAAAAAAAAAAAAAAAAAAAAAAAAAAGCCCTTTTTGGTCAGAAATTTGAAAAAAAAAAAAAGAAAAAAAAATCCAACCAAGAAGGGTTTAATCAGTTATTTTTAAACTCATATCTGTTTAAATATCATGCTATGTACCAAATATGAAATTTAAAACACTAAATCTGACTTATACATCCTTTATATCAAAACTTAACCAATATCGCTAAAACCATTACCACTGGCATGGTGATACCACATGACTAGAAATTCATTTACCTACCAGAGTTAAAAGAATAACCAATTTACTTTATTTTAATACGTGTTGCTCAATTAGTATTCATTTGACAGAGGTACTTCGTGAGAGTCAATTTTAGTTAATATCTTCGTTATTGACATTCCCGTTTTTTTCATTCACTAGGTTCTATCTGTTACAATTTCCAGATTTTTTTCCCGATTTCCCCCCTTTTCCGATTAAAGAACCGTAATTCGTCCATTAATATCACATGACATATCCCATGATCTCTCATTTCCCTCATACAAAATAATGCGTAATCGGAACTGAGTTCTGCTCACATTGTTACCAAAGTCCCAGGTAGTAACCTTTATCGCCTCCAAAATGTCGCCAAACTACCAGTTACCATATTCTAAAGATCAGCCCAATTCTCCTCAAGGTCAGTAATTTTTAGCACTTATTTAAATTTTAGGTTAACTAGTACATGTTTGACTGAACTTGATGAAAACATATGGTAAAAATATATTTACGGCGAAAATTGGTGATTTTTGGCAGTACATGGATACCGAGCTTGTGCAATTCTTTGACTT